TGTATTTGTTTGCGCCCCCTCTCCCTTTCTGTTGAGTGAGCTTTCTAGTTGTGTTGCGTGTTATTCTGTTTTGGTGAAAAGAGGCGGCATTAACTGGTAAACATACTGCAGAATGGGGCTTGGGGAAAATGTCAGATTGACCACCCACACTTGCTGAAGCCCCTTTCTCAAAGAAAACGATGGGGAAAGTAGGCAGGCGAACATGTGATACACGGCCTTGGGTTTAACACGCAGGCAGGCTGACTGCGAACATGTCGGTAGAACGTCAAGAAGCAGGGCAGGTTAATGGGAAATGCTGGTATGGCTGTGTGAATAATAAGCATGGATGTTGGCCCTATATAGTGATAGATTTTACGAGAAAATCAGCATTTGTTATGTATTTGATATGGGGGGGGGGGGGGGTGTTTGGTATTGGGAAAATGCTGTTATGAGTTGGATTATCTTCACAACACTCCTAACACCTCCATAGGTGCTCAGACCCCCTTTAAAATATTCATCAGTGTCGCGAGGTTAATAGTGCCAGTCCTGTGCTGGCTGACAGGACTTCTTGTGTGTCCGTTGTGGCTGTCGTGCTTGGCTGTTTCGATTTTTATTCCTGATTCTCCTATTCTTAGCAGTGATGCGGCTATGTTTCTTCCAAAATCATCAAAACGTCCTATCTCTGTAAAGGCATTGAAAGTGTAAGCGTGATCCATAAGCCCGCCATCTGCAACTAATGCAAAACCTGCCAGTCTTTCCGCTGTTTTATTGCCAGTAACACCAGCATACCCTGGGACAATATATGAAGCTAGCTTTCCACACGCAGGAGAGCTTTGCAATGACTCATTCCACTGTCTGCGTGTGGAGCCTGCCTCGACCCGCCGGATCATGCTCATAGAGTCGCTCAGCACGCACACGTCGGCCTGTGATTCTAACCATATGAAAGCTTGTGTCACCTCCATCGTCATACTACTGGTAGTCATGGAGAAGGCACCGCAGGCTTCTTAAACTGTTCTCTCTAAAGAGCCAGTTGTAAATGACTGTGCACTCTGATGTCCTCGTATAACGAACCCGTCATTCTAACCATATGAAAGATTGGGAAAATGCTGTTTACGTCAAGTTGCAGTAATGCACAGTCGCTCACACGAAGAAAACATTGAGATTGGGGGAAGGGAGGGAGGGGTGAGGGATGGATGTTGGACCCATTACACATTTTCTAGATGGGAGCCTCAAAGATTCTAAGCCCCCAGGTTTCAGTGCTCGCATAGAGTCAGGATTGGTTCCACCCGACCCAGCCTAAAATGGATGCTAGGTAATGTCCAGAGAAGCAAAGGCAGCCGGCGTGGTTTTGGCGATATCGAGTCTCTAGTGCTGATTTCTTAAAAAAAAATATAGGTCTACTTCAGTATGCTTAAGATTAAACAGCTTTAAACATCTATGGTTAAGCACCAGCAAGGAGATCAAAATTAGAATTTTGAGAGCATGCATCTTCCTTGTAGCAACATACGGATGTGAGTCGTGGACTAACTCCCAGTCCTTAAGAAAGAAAATATGGGCTTTTGAGCTGAATTGCTATAGAAAGATTCTCAGAATATCTCGGACAAAGAAGAGGAGATATACTGACATCTTGAAAGTTCTGAACATCAAGGAAGATTGGCTAATAAACAGTATCCTGTCTCGGAAGCAGAAGGCATGGTACCAGAAAGGAGGGGCACGGGCCGACCAACACGAAGATGGGCACAGGATATAAGTGACTTCTTGATTATGAAAGAACATGAGGCGGGAGAGCTGGCAAGAGACCGAGGTTTTTTTTTTTTTTTTCAGGCAGACTGTAATGAGAGCGACGTTCTGCGAAGGACCTTCTACATGATGATAACAATTTGCTTGATGCATTTCCCAATCTCAGTTGTTGAGCATCCCCTCCCCCAACTTACGTGTTAAAAGTTGGCCAACGTGTGGTTAAGTACTCCATTTACAGCGCAGGCAAATAAAAACAGTTGAAGTTTTCTGCGTGTCATGTAAGAGAAAGTAAACTGTAAGATTTAATTCCGTCGGTGCCAATAAAATTTTTTTCGTTTGTTGTGTTTCGTAAACGTCGGAATTTTACAGTTTTATGTTCTTATGTTCAAATTTGTCAGTTGTTTGTACAGCAGGTTACTCGTGTGCCCTAATATAACTATTATACGGTGAAATGTCGCTTTTGAGCTTTGCTGCTTTTATATTCTTATCTGAAAAGTGTTTGAATCACTTGATGTAAACTTTGTGTGTGTGTGGAAAAAAAAATGTGGGGGGGGGGGGAGGGGTGTGTGTGTGTGTGTGTGTGTGTGTGTGTGTGTGTGTGTGAGAGAGAGAGGGGGGAATGTTTGTATAAGGTGGCCATGTTTTTCCAAAACTGATTGTTTTTGTGAAAAGAATGTATTTAGCATCTGTGACGACCTGCACTAAAATGTGTATATATGGGAAATATAGGGGTCCTCTTTGATTTGATCACAGCGCCCGTCTATTACTGGTTGATTAATTACAAGTATGGGACTTAGCACAGCATATATATATATATATATATATATATATATATATATATATATATATATATATATATATATATATATATATATATATATATATATATATATATATATATATATATATATATATATATATATGTGTATATATATATATATATATATATATATATATATATATATATATATATATATATATATATATGAAATGTTGTTGGGGCTCTGTATGGGATTTGGAATTGAAAAAATATGAAGTGACGCCGATTTTAATAACATATTCACGGTCATAAGCCTGGTCTTTCAAATCTGCTTTAACTGTCAGTTTTATTCGCGGCTGTAAGGATATAAATTTGCTGTTGCTTTCAGTCTTTTCCAGACTACACCTTTTGCTCCAGTAGGTTACATTTTTGCTGCCACAAGAAATTGTGACTGTAACCATTAACTTAGGGCTAAGTTGTATGCGTGCCAAACCGTTTGCCTCACGCTCTGAAGGTCGTGGGTTTGTTCCACTGCTGCACCCTTCAGTTCATGAGTGCAGTTTTTATGGAGATCCTGCGGGATCATCGTTGGGGCTACGGAGCTCGTGCTCTGTGCGGCTCTCTCAGCAGGCGTTTCGCCGCTCTTCAGAGAGAGACCAAGCCGTATAGGATAAAACCCGGTGCAATGAAGTCGATCCTCTCGACTTTGACATTTTAACCATTAACTGGCGTCCATCAGGTGCTCTCACATTCAGTCCAGTATGCAGAGGGATCGAATCATAAGTGGTGATGCCCCAGGACTAGGGGTCATACTGTTCAAGATCTGTCTACTCCTCCTTGTGGTCATCTTAGAAACCAGATCCCAGCCAGCAGTCTGGCCAGTGTATTTAAGATGATCAAATGAATCTGCTTAAGAGGCGAGGCACCAACAGTCTGCCCACAAATATGCCAGATCTGCATTATGGATGTACATGCAACACTTAGGTCCAGGAACAAAACCAGAGTCCAGAAGTGGATGAACAGCCAGGATATTCTGTCATGAACAGACAGTGAACGGGAAGAAGAGAAAGAAGAAGAAATTCAGCCCATGACATACTCCAATAGTTTCCTGTTACCCTGGCTGTGTGACTAAACACGTTTCATTTAACACTTCTCATAGATTGAGATTAAACTAAAGATTGTCAGAAATAAGAGGGACTGCTGATTTTAAGAAGTAACCCAAAGTTGTGAGTTGTGTTGTATACTTGCTTATCTTTTCTTGTCCCTCTGTGGAGCTTCCTAGTTACAGTTTCTGATATCTAAGCCTGGGTGCCAGGTTCGATGCCAGCCACAGGCCTTTGCGCCAGTTTTGTCAGTAGTACCGAGAGCTGACTATCCAGAAAACAGTGGCAAACTACTTGACACAGATTTGCCTAGAAAAACCACAATAACCAAAAACAATTTAGGGGTTGTTCAGCAAAGTCCAGTAAAGGTTCGCAACTAACTTAAAAAAGGTGTAGAAAGAAATGAAGAAACTAATAAAACTCTACAAGTTTCGTACCTATAAAGCTTGCATATCATACTACGAAACTTGTAAAGTTTTCCTTTTATGTGGTGCAGACTTAACATTTCTATCTTGTTTTGTTGATTTCATATGACCAGTCAAAAGTGCACCGTGACTTTACACAGTATAGAGTTATGAGAAAATCTGGATGTTATGTTTATAATTTGATTTTTTTCTCAATGGCCCGCAACCAGGTTGGTAATTTTAAATCTGGCCTGCGGACCCAAAAATGTTCCCCCACCCCCTGCCTTACACCCTCAGGTTCCTGACTCTCCTACACGATGCTAAAAGTGGAAATTACAGGCAATTCTGCAAGAAGTTAGACATGTTTGCAAATCAAATGATTACTATAAATCTGCAACCATGACCAGACCGCAGGAACAGTAACTGACAAGGCGTGTGTCCAGACGAGAGCACCGTGTAGCAAGTCAGTGAAATGATTAAAAAGCAACACAGGTTTTGGATAAATGTCAGAGTCGAGAGAATCAACTTCATTGCACCAGTGTTTATTATCCTATATGGCTCTGTATTTTTTCGCAGAACATTTAGCTGCCTGAAGAGAGGGTTGCACAAAGCACAAATTCTGTAGCTCCAGTGACGATTCCTAGGGATCTCCATAAACATTGCACTTGTGAACTGAATGGCACAGCTGTGAAGCAAACCCATGACCATCAGAGCATTAGGCAAATGACTTCACCAAGCAGACCACCTGTTTGGTGTCTTCAAATGCTATAGTTTCCAGAATTTACTGAGGAGAGGAACTAAACTCTTATGAACTGAACGGTTTTCGATGTGCATTGATAATCTGTTGACTCACATACAACATTGAACAACAGTTTGTGTTGTGTAAAATTACTTTTTATATTCACACCCTGATTGGCATTTTGTTGAAGTTGTTTTTTTGTGATTGACATTTTGTTGAAGTTGTTCTTGTGTGATTGGCTTTTTGTTGAAGTTGTTCTTGTGTGTATTGCCTAGGAGCTGGAAGTGAGTCTTCGACAACACCAGAGCAATGTGACTAGGATGAACTCGGCTGGAGATGAAATCCTCCACAATGCCTCTGCCATCAGCGCAGAAAACCTTCGGGACAAGCTGGACCTCATCAACCAGCGGTGGAAGGTTTTGTGCTCAGAAGTTCTGGCTCGCCAGAGAAGGTGAGTCACCCACACATCGGTCACCCACACATCAGTCATCTGCATGACAATGATGCACACTTAAATCACCTGTGTGTTGATGGTGCAGACATCATTCACCCACAGAATAATTTTCTACATTTCAGTCACCCACACAGATTTATTTGTCCTTGTCAGTCGTCACCCACTCATCAATTAGAGGGACATCAGCCACTTTTCATATTATTTGGTATCACATGTTGTCTGCACAGGAGCCACCTGAAGTTGTCATTCGCACAACAATCACTCATTTATGTCATTCATACTCCAGTCACACATTTATTTCATTCACACCAGCCACATATCTGCTGTCTCCCTCACATATCAGTCACTCATCAATGTCACTCACACATCATTTACTCATAGATGCCACTCACACATCAGTCACTTATAGATGCCACTCAAAAACCAGCAACTCATCTTTGTCGCTCACACACCAGCCACTCATCTGATGTCTCCCTCACACATCAGTCACTCATATATGTTTTCTGAATTCATGATCAGTGTGGTTGTAGTTAAGTGAGTGTTAAATATTGAAATAAGAATCATCAACATAACATCTGGACATTTCCATAAGTGCTGCGTCCTCATCTTCAGCAACAAATGCAGAGTTCCAGTTTCAATGGTACCTGTAACTATCAGATTGTAGTTAAGTGACTTCATGATCATGTGTGATTATAGTTATCGAATCGATGATCATGTGTGATTATAGTTATCAAATCGATGATCATGTGTGATTATAGTTTAGTTAACAAATTCATGATCACTTGTGGTTGCTAAAGATCATCAGTCGTATCTTGATGTATGTGCAGAACCAAGGAACACAGCGTGGAACCAACAGAGTTCACGTACGAGATGGATGACCTCTTCTCCTGGATTGATGAGACGGAGAACATTATTGGGTCCAGTCTCCATCCAAACACTTTGTACCTGGAAGCCTTGCTTGAGAAAGTCAAGGTGAGTAGTATTTATAAGGCTCAGCTGTGGAAAGTATTATTAACAATTATTTCTTTGATGTGATATCACTGGTCTAAGCTGATAAGTTACACTAGTGTTCCAACTAAGTCTTAGTCTTAGTCCAGGTTTCGGCATCACTGCAATCTAATTTCCCCATACTTTCTGTGTCAGTGAAGATCAAAAGAAAGAATATCATGGGTTGAAAGAAAAACAAAGGATATAGCCCTGGTAGAGACAGATGAAAGTGGTAAACTGGCTAGAGAAAATTGGATGTAGACACTGGCAAATTTTTTTTTGGGTGTGGTGTAGGGAGGTGGAGGGCATGTTATAAGAAGGAGTGACCTCAAAAACCAGCAAGACTAATAGAAAAAAACTAGGGAAGAAAATGAGATAAATAGCTGGATGATGGTTTGGCTTTATATAGTTGGGGGCAAGATGAGAACACAGATATGATCTGTGAGTTTGGTGTTTGTGTGAGACAGCGAAATGTGACCGCCTATGCTTATTGGCAGAGCTCATGATGATGATGTTGAGCACAGGAAAAACCCACTGGGTACTGCGAGACCAACATACTGAGATTTTTTTTTTTTATGGATCCTTTTTGTGTTCTGTTTTAGGACAGGGAAGATGAAATTGCTCATAGACAGGCAAGTCTGTTCAACATCAACAGTAGTGGAGCTAAGTTGATGCAGTCGCCTAAACTGACTGATGATGACCGCAAAAATATTCAGAGGGACATTGACAACCTCAACGCTGGCTGGAAAAAGGTAAATAGTTTTTTTTTTTTTTTTTTATTCACTGCAGCACTTGTTGTGGCCAAAATATTTCAGTTTCTGAGACTTGATGCTGTTGACTAGCCAGTCTTCCTTTTAGGATGTCAGTATTCCTTTTAGGATGTCAGTATTTCTTTTAGGATGTCAGTATTTCTTTTAGGATGTCAGTATTCCTTTTCTTCTGTGTCCATGGTATTCTGAAAGTTTAGTTGAATCCAGAATTGACATGACAGCACTCGGAGCAATCCTATGCATGCTCCGTCCTTATCTTCAGCAGCTAGTGCACACTTCCAATACGGAGGTACCGGTCACAATCTGGTTATTTGTCTGTCTTGCCTTTCTTCTGAGTTTAGTGATCTGGCCAGACCCTCGGGTTACACCCAGGTGCCTCATTCTCTCCAGGCCATAATAATCTTGTTTATCTACTGATTCTGTTGCTCCTTGACCACATCTGCCTTGTCATGTATCAGTTCACCACCCACTGGTGCAGATCCAGCCAGTCTGTCTCTCTGTTCATTACCCACTACGCGGGCATGGCAAGTATTCTCACTACCTGTGAGCTTCCAAGTGAAGCTTGCCACTCTGATTGAAGCATCCCTGTCTTCACCTTTCTTAGCATGCTTTCAGAGTCTGTTACAATTAAGACATGTGTAGGATGCATCTTGTTCTCTAGCCACCAGAGAGCTGCAGTTACCACCTTCAACTCCATTCTCATGCTAGATGTTGTGGTGTCATATGCTAGGCTGTCTTGCACTAAAGATTTTCCATTGGCTTTCGCTATGAACCCCCAGGCACTTCTTTTACTTTCAACACTGTACAATCTGTATAGATAATCAGATCACCTGGGTGTGAATTGTCATGAATCAACTGTTGGACTTCCACCTCCATAGCGCCTGGTGGCCACTCTCTACCCTACCGGCCCAATGTGATCATAACCCTACACAGATCAGTCTTTTCCTTTGGGACTCTGACCCACTCCTCTCCTCGCCCAATGCTCTCCAGCATGCATACTTGTCTTATTGTGTCTTCTACTTGAGCCATCCACGATTTCCCCCTTTTCAGCCTCTAACCTTTACATGCAAATATATTAATCACATTCAGGGTATAAGCAACCCTCCCCCATCCCCTTCAATATTTAACTTAAAAACTTTAGGTAAACATAATTTTATACATGCCAAAATACTGTAATTACATGCAACTATGACTGATGGTTTAACTGATATAACATTGAACAGCCTTAAAAGTCTATGGTTAAGCACCAGCAAGGAGATAAAAATTAGAATTTTGAGAGCATGCATCTTCCCTGTGGCTACATACGGATGTGAGTCATGGACTATCTCACAGTCCTTAAGAAAGAGAATAGGGGCTTTTGAGCTGAAATGCTATAGAAAGATTCTCAGAATATCTTGGACAAAGAAGATGAGAAATATTGACATCTTAAAAGATCTGAACATCAAGGAAGATTGGCTAATAAACAGCATCCTTTCTCGAAAGCTGAAATATTTTGGTCATAACAAGCGCCACGACAGATTGGAAAAAAATTATAGCAGAAGGCATGGTACCAGGAAGGAGGGACAGCAGCCTACCGACACGAAGATGGGCACAGGATATAAGTGACTTTTTGAGTGGGAAAGTTCATGAGGCGGGAGAACTGGCAAGAGACCGAGTTTCTTACAGGCAGACTGTGATGAGAGCGACGTTCTGCAAAGGACCTGCTACATGATGATGATGATAACTGATGGAATTGAGAATCCAGTTGGCACTAACAGGTAGAAATGTCGAGGTCTCCGTGACGAAATAGTTAGCTTTTTTTCTGTGCTAGGCTTCATACTGCATACTTCCATTTATGCGATGCAAAGATACCTCTGTTGGAGCTAACGCCTGTTGTGCTTTTGTGTGGTGCCCCATGCAGGCGAATAACACTTCTGCAGAAAGAGACCAATTTAAACGAGATCTTCATCTTTTTTTTTTTTAAAGGGTGTTTGCACATTGTTGTATTTTGGTTTTTGCTGATGGAGTGAAATTGATCCCCTCGCCATTAGAGGGAGAAATATAGTAGAGAACAGAGTACGTAACAAACTGGGCCAAGTATCAAGTTAATGTTGGAGACTGAGCACACATGCATATGCTGGAAGTGCTGTGACATTAGGGTGACAAGTTATTTGCCAGTTGATTTGACAGTTCCCACATTTGTACTATCACATTAGTCATGATTTTTATGTTTTTTCCAGGTCACTGTGGAAGTTCCAGACAAAATTCGCCAGATAGAGGAGGAGATTAAAAAAGTTCGAAACTTGAATGATGATGTTAACAACATGCTAAAGTGGATTTTGGATACACGGATTATTCTGGAAAAACAGAAAGGAGCAGAGAAATATCCCACTCCGCCAACAACAGATAACAGTGATGTCACTGTGCACTTGGTAAAAACAAATATTGTTTCTTCTTGTCTTTTAAGCAGTTATTATTTGATGTTAACAAATATTACTAGTGACTTTTGTTAGCAATTATTACTGGTAAATTTTGTTAACAAATATTGCTGCAGCTTTTTTTTTTGTTAACAGATATCACTAATGGCTTTTGTTAGCAAATATCAGTAGTTACTTTTGTTAGCAAATGTACTGCCTATTTATTTGGAAACATTACTAGAGATGTTTATCAGCAGAAATGTACTGATGCCTTTTGTTATTAGTTAGGCCTATTTATTTAGTTTTTTGTTAGGAAATGTTACTTTTTATTTGCCACACCCTTTCTTTTTTTTAATGTTTTCTTTTTTGTTTATTTACTAAGCCAAGTATTAAATGCAGAGATACCTTTCCCATGCTATGTGGCATATTGAGAATGTATATAATCGGATGGCTGCTTGGTCTCGAGGCATGGTGTCCGGGGTTCGAGCCCCGGTGAAGGCTAGGATTTTTCATGTGGACTTCTAATAATATCCCCTGGTCTTTGGGTAGAAAGATCGGACGCCGTTGTGTATTGTTGCGCACGTAAAAAAAAAACCTTGGCATTTGGAATCGAAAAAGAGTAACCTAACGGTGCTGCCCGGGCAAAATTTGGAGAAGAATCTACCCAAAGTATTTCAGGATCCTCACCGATGCAAAAGAGTTTGTGCACTGCACTGAAATTCTTCGGACTCAGGCTTGAGTCAGAAGTAGAACATAGCACTTGTTGGTTAATACCCTTAAGCCATGATGTTGATCCATTGTCTTAACCTAAACCTATTTTGAGAATATGGTGTCATGCCCATATTTTCAACTTAACAGCAATCAATGGGTGTTGTGGTCATCGATTATAGCTCTTTTTTTTTTTTTTTCTCTCGTTTTTTTGTGTGTGTGCGTGTTTTGTTTTGGGCAAAACTGTAAATGGCGACTCTAAATGACAATCTATTCTAAGTTCATAATACTTTAAATGCGGACCCGAGAGGAAATAATCCATTGTTTGTGTAAGTTCACTTAATAATATTCTTTAATATGAGATATTGTTAAAGGTCGGGGTTAGGGCTAACCCAAAACCTAACCTGAAGTAATAGTAAATACTACAGATCATTATTAAGGTAGAGAAACAGTGGTTTGTGTCCCTTATGGTCACCGTAAACAGACAAAAGATTGTATACCTTAGGGTCGCCAATTACAGTTCATAGAAAATGTTCTGGTATCTGTTTTTCAGACGAAGTCACTCCCCAAACAATGAGGTCATGTAAATAAATTTCAGTCTTTAGGAGATATTTAAACCAAACACCAGTATATGACTAGAAGATGTCCTGATTAAATTCACTTTTAATTAAATCACAAAATATTTCAGTTAATTACCTTCCATTTTATATCCGTCGTCCCCTTGTGGGATGCAGTTTTTCATTTTTTGAAACCCCACCCTGTCTTTTGCCGGGGGGGCCCTGAATATAGCCGGCTCACAAATATGGCCTAACGGCTGAAAGGGATTTCTGGGACATCTCCACCGGTAATCCTCACCCGCATGGTGGCACTTTGTGTCACCGGGTGTTTATCGCTTGTGTGTTGTCCTAGTGGGTACAACAAGAGAGATCGAGAATCTTCTAGGTTTAAAAAAAACACATGGCAAATTTAATTTGTCTTTTTTATTTTTAATACAAAGATTTTCTACTTAGATTTTTTTTTTTTTAATGAAAGAAACAATTTTTTATATAGCTGAATATGCTGTTATAATAATTAAACTGTTGATTATTTGTTTGTTTTTAAGCTAATGAAATTATTGCATTACAAAATAAAAGAAGAAAATATTGTATAAAGCTGTCAGCTTTCAGACAGTTTTTGAGGTTTAGAGTTGTTGCGTTTACTTTCCTGTTACAAGTCAAGGTGTTTACAGTAGGGATTGGAAATGATCACAGATCATATTTATATATAACTGTAAACAAGATTAATTGCTCGTTTATCTCTTTAATCTTTGCAATTAAAGGTGACTACTTTACCCATAATTCCAGTCAAGCATGTGGCAGTACCAGTGAACCCATCATATGATTCTTCATTTAGTTTACCAGCATGAAATACTTTATCGCATCTTATCTCTTCAGTAGAAATCACTACTGCGGAGACTAGATTTAAAAAAAAATTAAATTATACTCTGGCCATTAAATATCATTAGATCAAGAAAATAAAGACCTAGCCCTATCTTTTCCACTGTGTCATATTGCATGAAAATGTGTCCATTATCTGTTTGACAAGTTTTTCTAAGTTGACACATGAGTAAAAGTATGTGACATATTTTTTGCTGTTTCTTTGATTGGCAAATCCCAGTAGGAAGTGTGGAAAAGTATAAGACATATTTGTTTTCAGTTTTTCCTAGTTAGTGATTGACAGGAGGCTATGAGGACATGTGACGTATCTGTTTTCAATTCCACCACCCCGCCCCTTTCCCCCATTAGTGATTCATAGAAGGCTATAAGAAAAAGTATGAGAAACTTGTGTGTACTGTTTCTTTCATTGATAGTCATAGGAGGCTATGGGGACATATTTGTTTCAAGTTGTTGTTTTTTCCCATTACTCATTCATAGAAGCTGTCATGAAATGTATGAGATGCATTTCTTTATTATTCCTTTTTGTTAGTGATTCACAGGAGGCCATGGAAAAATGTACGAGATGAATGTATTTATTGTTTCTTTCATTGGTGCTTCATAGTAGGCTGTTTGTGAATGTATGTGACACAATTGTTTTCTGTGGGCTCCCCCCCCCCCCCCCCCCCCCCCCCATTCCTGATTAATGGGAGGCTGTGGGGTAATGTATAAGATATATTTCTGTATTGTTTCTTTCATTTGTGATTCTCTGGAGTCTGTGTGGAAAATTCTAAAATACATTTATTTACAAATAATTTCATCGGTCATTTTCAGGAGGCTATTGAAAACCAACAGGCTAAAGTCAATCAGATCAATACAATCTATCAGAAACTGCTGGAGGCAAGCAAAGATCAGGACCAGGCCACCCCAGACAGCCTGCAGGTGAAAATTGCCAAGATGAACACAGATTTTGAACAGCTGAAAGAGATTGCCAAGAGTCTTGATAGCAAGACAGAGTCTGCTGTAACAGAAGTTATGGATCAAGGTTTGTGTATTGTCTTCTTCTTTATTCACTGTCATGATATACTCCGGTTTTCTCTTTTTCATGACATGACTGAAGATTGTCTTTTTCTGACTACGTGGGTAGTCAGTTCTCTTCGTGGGTCAGTTTCTTTCCAGATATCTTTATTATTGTGGTTATCTGTCCAGGGTATCCTCATCATTCACATATAAATCCACATCTCCGCTGCTTCCAAATAATTTCTCACTAATTGTCTAACTGTCTTTGATTCACCTCCATATATCAGGATAGGATTTATATAACAGCGCTTGAGAATTCTGTTTCTCATCATAATTGACAAATAAAGACTGCATTGAATTTCTTCATCATGAAGGTTAAAAGACATGATGATGTTCTTAAAACCATACTGACAAGAGACACAGAATTCAGGTTTGCAGGAGAGAAAGAGAGACAGAAAGTAGTAAGATGCAATGAAGAAATGGATGAATAGTATATAGTCTGAGTGTAGGAGCTATGGTAGTGTTATAGCTAAATGCTTGCAAGCAGGCCAGAAGGTCTTAGGTTTGAATCCACATCGAAGCAATTTTTTAAAAAATTGACCATTGCTTCTAGCTCGACCCAGCCTGAAATGGGTATTCGGCAGTGTTTTAGGCAGTTAAGGATGGCTGGTGTGATGTTGACCACATCATTCACTGAGTGTTGTCTGGTCTTTAAAAAATTAGGGCTCTACCATCATGTGCCGATGCACAACTGACATAGAAAGGGTCCTTTACTTTGTTACATAATGTGCTGATGCACGACTGACATAGAAAGGGTCCTTTACTTTTGTTACGTAATGTGCCGATGCACGACTGACATAGAAAGGGTCCTTTACTTTTGTTACGTAATGTGCCGATGCACGACTGACATAGAAAGGGTCCTTTACTTTTGTTACGTAATGTGCTGATGCACGACTGACATAGAAAGGGTCCTTTACTTTTGTTACGTAATGTGCTGATGCACGACTGACATAGAAAGGGTCCTTTACTTTTGTTACGTAGTGTGCTGATGCACGACTGACATAGAAAGGGTCCTTTACTTTTGTTACGTAATGTGCTGATGCATGACTGACATAGAAAGGGTCCTTTACTTTGTTGCATGATGTCAGGGGCTACAAACAAAGCAAGGGATAGTGTTTTGGAAACCCTTTGCATACCATCATTGATTGATTGATTAATTGATTGATAATTTTTCTCCAACAGCCATAGTTTGTTTTTAATAAATTTATCACCACCACAACTGTTTACAGTTAAGCAAGTTCAGGTCCACATGGAAGCCAAGTCACTGGCCGCACCAGCTGCAGGCTCTTCTTGGATGGAGTTTGACAGATCAGTCAGTGAGCTTCGTGATTGGCTGACTTTGCTGGAACACATGCTGAGGTCGCAGAAAGTGACTGTTGGAGATATCAAGGACATTGAACACATGATTCAGAAGCAAAAGGTTTGATTTTTCTGTCATCTCAAGGATATATTTCTGTAGAGCTGCTATGATAGACTTACCTTTTTATTTTTGTAACAATGTTTGATGCATTTCTGGATTTGTTACCTTTGATCTTTTCATTATACAAAACACTACCAATGAAATAGATCATAATTTTAGTTATGAAACATTACTGTCTCTTCTTTCTGCATTTTGTTGCATTCATTTATTAAATGTAGCTATTCTACAGTGGTTGAATGGATTGTCTATCCATTTATTTATTTACTGTTCATACTTGTTGCTTAGGAGCATCTGTCATGATCATTGTTATTATTTATTGTCTGATTATTCAGCTGTTTATTTTTCTTCCATTTAAATAAAAGTACAAAATAAAATTGTTATTCCCACTAACAGAACAAGATCTCTTTTATTTTTCTTTGCAAACCAAAAGATCAATTTAGATAGGAAGTATGAAATGGGCGATCGGAAAGCATTGAATTCCTCATGTTTCATTTTTTTTTTTTTATTATTATTATTACCGAATCTCTGTGTTTGTGCTTCTTCTTTCTTATTTGTCTGTCTGTGTTTCTCTCTGTCTGTGTCTCTGTCTCTTACTTTCTGTCCCTCTCTATCCATCTCTCAGTTCACTTATTAACACTTGCTACCTTATCTGCTTCCTTAATCACAGTTGCTTACTAGGGTCCTCTTTCCTCTTTCTCCACATGAGTTTATTCTTCTCTCCCTTTCCTACACTCTTTCTCTTCTCTCTCTCTCTCTCTCTCTCTCTCTCTCTCTCTCTCTCTCTCTCTCTCTCTCTCTCTCTCTCTCTCTCTCTCTCTCTCTCTCTCTCTCTCTCTGTCTCTCTCACTCTCTCTTTTTGTGTGTTGTGTTTTATGTCATTGTGTCCTAAAATTTATTTCATATTGTCTGTGTGTTTGAACTTTTAAGCTCACAGAAACATAAAACGCTGTTTTATTTTTCTTCTAACACATATAACATTTCTAATATATAGCAGTGAATTTATTATGCTAACATTTGGTATATTTCTCAACTCTTAAAGCACTAACACCCTTTGCAATTAACACTGTGTCTCAGTCTTTTGGGGATTTTAAATCTTTGGTTCATTAACTATTGTTGATTTTCATCTCTTTTAACTATGGTCAGTTGTAACTCATTAACTACCCTCTTAAGTGCATGTTGTGATGATCAGTCAGATGTTATGTATTTTTCAAAATTAATTATGTTTAGTTGCAACTTTAGCTATAGTTTATCAGATTTTAATTTAAAAGAAATGTGTCTTGTGATTTTGAAAAGTGTAGATGTGTTATGGTTTCTTGTTTAAATTATTGACCTAACAGCGATAACTTTGGCTCTATTAGCCACTTGATGGTTGATAATGAGCTAAGCTTTAAAATATCCATGCTAGTTATTTTTTTTTTTTCTTTTTTTCTTTTTCAGTTTCAGTTTACTTGGTCCTTCTTCATTAAAAATAACTTCAGCCAAAACAATAAGTTGGTTACCTTAAATTCTAATGCAAAAATTTTGGGGGGGGGAGGGGGGGGGGCAGAGGGAATCCTTTATCTGCTTTTATTGATGTCTTAATGAAAGCATCACCATTCTTCTCCTCCTCCTTCCCCCTCCCTCTTATTTACCTTATTGAAATATTAAGGGAGGTATAAGAGTTTTCTATAAGCTCTTTCTCTTGTATAAGTTGATGTTCATTTTTGTAAGGATATCTTGATGCTGTGATTCCATCTTTTGCATGGTATGGCCTGTTATCTGTTTCATTATATTTCTTCAGTGTGGCTCTCAATGACAGTTAGTACCAGGCCATTTTTGTCAGATGGCTATACCATCTTATCTGTTGCTCTTTAATGAAAAGCATCACTGGTTGTTGTCCTAGTCTTCTTCTGATTTCCTAATTTTTAATTCTATCTCTTCTTTCTACTGCAGCAGCTTTCCTTTAATCTCTTATGATTTTTTGCTCATTAATAAGAAATTATTATTTCTATAATTTTTTCAATAATCATTTATAAGAAGCATTAGTTTTGTCCATTCCTCTTACTCTTCTTCTTCTTCTACTTCTTATTTTTCTTCTTCTTTTGCTGCTGCTGCTGCTCCTCCTCCTCCTCATATCTCTTCAGCATTGCTCTCTGTTTCATCTTTCGTTCTTTAATATTAATGGTATGTTTCAGTTCTAGTTAAATTTTTCTTCTTCTTTTTTTTTCAAAATGTCACCTTGTCCTTGCTACTCAACAACTCTTTTGAAGCCATTTATCTCAGTTGTTACTATTGTCCACCCATTGGCCATGGTTTGTGTTTGACATTGACAGAAAAAAATCCTGTGCACATGTATAGTTCCACAAAGTTCTTTACCAGACCGTTTTGAGCTGGATCATCTTAGTAAGGTTTAAATATTCAACTCATTCTGTCTGAAAAATTTCACAGCAGATGCTAAAGGGCAAGTAGCTACAATCATGAGTTTGTTTATTACTTTCAGAGAAGTTAAATTTGGTTAGTCTATTAATCATCGCTACATATCTAATCATTCAGTCCATAAGTGCTTGGATACCGCCTCCTGTGTGTCCCTCAGCATCTTGTGACTGCAGTGCCAATTCTGTGTTAGTCATTTTTCTTTAATTTCCTTTAAAACGTTCTTGTCTGGTTTAAAACACAAACCCACCCCCCACCCCACCTGTTCTGTCTTAGACAATGCAGTTCTGTTCTAGGCTGTCAGTTTGTACAGTCATCACTTGATTCATTTAATTACCCATCAACAGTATTTTAGTATAACATCCTGGTCCATTGCTCACCCACTTTCCACAGTAGTACCATCATCAAGCCTATCAGCATGTTCATGTCTTCATACATCTGCATTCCCTGGCTCAAAAAATGTGTTCAATACAAAGTGAAAATTGACACTGGGAAAGTCAGATTTATTTAATATACTGTGACAAAATTAAAGAAAGTAAAATAGTGTATAATGTGGTAGTAATTTTTAAAGAAATAGAGCCAGAGAAACATTAAACTTTAGTATTTGAAAGCTACAATAAAGTTTTACTAATCTTGCATTCTGTATGTTTATGTTTGCAAGCTTTTGACACATAAACAGCATGATGTCCAGCATTTGATAACCAGCTGAAACCCCACTCTGTTACAGCGTGAGTCAGATTCAGTGATCACATCGCCAACTGACTCACAACTCTTCGACTCACGTCAGCTAACCAACTCTCAGCTCTCAGATATCGACTCTCCCTTACCCACAGAAGAAGATTCCTTGCTATCTCTCTCAGAGCATGATCTATGCACCTTGCAGGCTCAAGTAGCAGACATTAGCAGCTACCTCAGACTTCTTGAGGTGTGTCTGTGTGTGCATGTTGTGACTTTTCCTTAGGTGTATGTTGTTTTTTTTCCCCTCTTCAGTATGTTCCTTTTGCAAAGGTGTGTGTGTTTTTTCATTTGTGGCTTTTCCTTGAATGTTTTTTGATTTAGGGTTTTTTGGGGTTTTATTTTCTCTGCAAATTGTTTCTTTCTGTGTACAATTTTTAGTTCCTAGACTGTGTGTGTATGTGCTTGTGTGTTTTTTTTTTATATTTCACTTTGTGTCTTCATATTGTAGTTTTGAGCGTGTGCTAAATGTAACTTTCCTTGGATGTGTGTTTTGTGTTGCTTCCCCAGATGCTAATATGTTATTTGTCATCCCGTTGTGGGATGCAATTTTTCATTATTTGAAGCCCCACCCTGGCTCTTGCCAGGGACCACAGTAAAGCTTGACCATAAACATTGTCTAATGGCTGAACGCGGTTTCCGGGACCTCGCCACAGGTGATCCTCATCCACATGGTGGCACTTTGTGTCATCGGGTGTTTATCACTTGTGTGATGTCCTAGTGGGGTAAAATGTACTACTACTAATACTAGATTTATGTTTATATGGTCTTGAGTTTGCTGGTTTGCTGTACTAAGCTTTAAGGCACTCTAAGAGACTTTAAGCTGACATCCCAGTTTATGGCCCAAAGTGAATTATGCGCACTGACATCCCAGTTTATGGCTTAAAGTGGATTAGGTGCATTGACATCCCAATTTATGGCTTAAAGTGGATTAGGCGCATTGACATCCTAATTTATGGCTTCTAGTGGATTAAGCACACTGAGATCCCAATTTATAGTCTACGGTGGATTAAGCGCACAGACATCCCAGTTTATGGCCCATAGTGGATTAAGTGCAAAGACAGAGATCTCTAAAGAAAATGAGTTGGAAATGGCTTTTCCTGAATTCAAGTGTATTGTGAAATTTTTCTGCGGTGTATTTGTTGTTCGCTTTCCTGGCTTCTGTTGTTTTGTGTGTGTGTGTGTGCGCGCGCATGTGTGCGTGCGTGTCCCCCCCCCCCACCCCCCAAAACTGTGCATTTTATAATAGTTGTTTTTCTGGTGGTAAATTGATATGGCAGTTTCCTAAAAGTGTGTGAGTTGTGTTTGTTGTTTCATGAATTGTGGCTTTTTGTGAAGCTGTGTATGTTGAACTTTGTGTTTCAGCTTTCTCTTAAGAGGAGATTGTGTCTCTGTAAATGTATGTCATTTTAGCTGTCCCTGTGTTGTCATTGGACTGTGTTTGGCCCTCTTTCCTGAACTGTATATTATATTGTTTTGTTTAAAGTGTTTTTTTTTTTTTCTTTCCCACCTGAACCCTATTTTATCAGCATATACTGTTATATTTTGTGGCTTTTTCCTAAAAAGTGTGTCATATAGATTGTTCAACAGTGTGTCATTTAGATTTTCCTGAATAGTGTGATGTGGCTTTGCCATAATTCTGTGTCATATGGCTTTTACTGAATTGTGTGTCATGCAGCTTTTTCTTGAGTGTGTTGATTTATGTATTCTGTCAATTTCTTTTGGTTGTGAACCTTACATTTTGTATGCACTGCATCATAACTTCAATGTTTCTTTGCATAAAAGACAAATATCTGTTCATTGTGTTTGTTAGTATTGTAGAGCTATTACTCCCACCCCTAAATCAAACAGTAAATATTAAACATAGATTGTACTTGTCTTTTAAGATGCATTTAAAGCCTATCTAGCCAAGTATACTGCACAAGTAAATATAAATATTCCAGAAGTCAATATTTCATAACCTTGTAAATATAATTTTTAGCAAAATAAAATTATGAATTATACATACAAAGAATAAATTATAAATGCTGCATGTAATAATTATGATTTCTTTTAGGAAAGAACATTTGGGGGAGAAGGGGGGGGGGGGGGGGTAACAGTTTATTGTTTCTCCACAAAAATGTGACTTTTGCAGTCTTGATAGGTGTTTCATTGCTGATTTTCTCCAATTTTCTGTTACCAACCCATCCAACATTTCTCTCTGTTTATCTATATTATTAAAACCATTATTCTTTCCATTTTTCACAGCCTTGACCAAACCCTCTTGTCTCGTACCAGGAAGATAATTAAATGTCTTTGTATGGGATTCACACAATTGTTGTAATTAGTGTGAAGGAAAATAAAAGAGCTGACAGACTGGCCATGTCTGCAGTGTTAGTGGAGGAAGATGTATGGAGAGGGCATACATTCTGTCTGCACTGCATTCCTGAACAAGTTCAGACAGGGAAAACAGAGACAGTGAACTGCCTGTAGGAAATGAGTGTTAAAGGAGGGCAGGCATGCAGACACCAGTTGTGGGGTAAAGAAAGAAGATATACCAGTGTCAACTGCCCCTGATTATGTTGAGCATGGAGACATTGAGATATCTGGTGCATCAGAGAATGGAGAATGAACGGGTCAGACCAGTGTGCTAGGATATCAGCACAGATAACAAGTAACGGTTCTTATTATTAAGTCTAGCCCAAATAGAGCATGACTGGGCTTTCATTCATGCTTTCTCACCTGTGACATGGGCTAGTCTATATTACAGGGTGTCACATCGTCTTGTCTGTGAGGCTATCAGCAGCTATGTCACATTTTCTGTACTACACAATGACACCACTTTTAAAGACCCCATAACATATAAATCTGGCCAAACACCCCTCCCCCCATCTCACAGCCTCAACTTAGGTCCCATAAGAGAGTCCAGAGTACAGCCTATGGCTTCAGAATTGTTTACATTTTCTGCTGTGCCCTAAAAACCGGTCTTGCTACAGAAAAGCAACACTCTCCTCCTTGTCGCTCTCTCCTTCTTGTCGCTTGTCAACGCTGACTTAAATCCGTGTCGTACCTGAATTCTGAAACATACACAGTGTAGCCCCCGGATTGCAACAATGTGTCAAAAGTACTGCATAGCTAGTTGCCTATACTATGCACAATGTACAAAGCTCTTCGTGAACAAAAGGCAATGTGACACCTCAGTAGCATAGACTAGCCTGTGTCACTGGCGAGATAGCATGAATAAAACCTCAGTTACGCTCTATCTGGGTCAGACTTTGTAACAAGTTCCCTAGCAACAGTTGTAATTAGTCTATATAGTTATTATTGATACTAGTTAATTTACATTTAGGATAGTTTTTTTTTCTTGCAATTTAACACAAGCCATCTGGTGTGCCATATCTGTGATAACCTACCTCTCTATCATCTGCTTCACCATTATGAAAAATTTAGTTGCTTGCTGTATAATCCTTGTGCCTGCCTGTCATATTCGTAGACCGTTATAGTATATATTTAGTTGCTTGCTGTAAAATCCTTGTGCCTGTCATATTTATAGATTACCTATAGTTAGATATGTTATTTATTTAAACGTATCCACCAATAGAAATCTAAATTTTGATACAGACAGGCACATTTACTGCATGAAATAGTGACCACATTTTGCGTTATTCATGCGCACTTTATGTTTTAAACTGTATTTTTGTTTAAATCCCTAACTTTGTTAATATTACTGAGAAAATGGCATTAGAAATCTTCTGTTGTAAATTGTTGCAAAATATTTACTTTTAGATATTATCTTTTAGCAACCATCCTTAGTAGGAGTCGAGGACCCTTTTTAGATGCAAGGACAAGTTGAGTTGATTTAAAAATTGACATCACAGCACTCAGGGCATTCCCATATGTGCTCCATCCCCATTTTCAGCAGCCAGTGCAGATTTCAAGTACTAATGGTGCCTGTTGTATTCTGATTGTATGTCAATCTTGCTTTTCCTCTGAGCTTAGTGTGCCGGTCAAACTCTTTGATCACACCCAGATAATAATCTAGTTTCTTTTCTGACTTTGTTACTTGTTCCCAAAGGGCTCTGACCACATCTGCCATGTCATGAATCAGTTCACCACCCAGCGATGCAAATCCAGCTAGTCTGTATGCCTCTTCATTCTCCACCACGCCGGCATAGCCTGGAGAAAAGATCCAAAGTATGCTCACTACCCATGACCTTGCAAGTGAAGCTTGCAATCTGCTCGAAGCAATTCTGTCTTCACCTTTTTCAGTAGGCTTTCAAAGTCCATTACAGTTACGACGTGTGTATGTATCTTGTTCTCTAGCCAACTGGCAAGCTGCGGTAACCCCTCCAATCTCATGCTAGATGTCATGGTATCATATGCCAGGCTGTCCTGCACTAAAGATTTTCCATTGGCTTTCGTTACAAAACCCCAGGCACTTCTCTTCCTTCTCAATACAGAACCATCTGTGTAGATAATCATAGCATCAGGATAAGAAATGTCATGAATCAACTGTTGTACTTCTACTTCAGTAGCCCCCGCTAGCCACTCTCTGCACTCCCGACCTAATGTGATCATAACCCTACATAGGTCAAACTTTTCCTCTGGTACTCTGACCCACTCCTCTTCTCACCCAATGTTCTTCAGCATGCATACTTGTCTTATTGTGTCTTCTGCTTGATGCAAGGACATATGGTGTTAGAGCTATACTGTTAGAGACCAACTGATGATTTACATGGTCAAAACTATGCTGGCTGAGATTGCTTCCCAGTACATTAGCTGGTACCCATTTTATGCTGGGTCGATTTGGGAGAAAGTAAAAACTCTGCTTCAATGCTTATTTATTCTTCTTCTTTGCATTCACCTGCTGTAAGCTCTGTGTAGACAGCTACGGTTATTCTTCCTCTTCTGGACTTTTGTCTTTTTCCAGAACTGTTTGCATTTATGTCAGTTTTACAGATCTGGCTTATTTGTATGCAAACTGTCTTACTCTAAGATATTATATGATGTTACATATTGTCATTCACAGTTATGCAGTCGGGCAAGACTAAACTGATAATTATGACTTCTAAAAAGCAACCCCCCTCCCTCCCCCCTCCCTCCCACCCTTTTCCTTCTCCCCTTTTTTTTTTAAATAGTAAATGTAATCATATCCACCCCGACCACACCACTCTGCGGTGGCAAACAGAACCAAAACCATAAACTAAGCTTAATTGGAACTGGTCAAAGTCGTCACACCACAGAGTATGCCATAACAAACAGAAAATACACAGTATCGGCTTTTCTGGGCCAAAATTTTAAGGACACTTTTCACGCCAGTGGTACATCAGGAATTTAATTTTAGATTTGTATTTGTATACACCATATAGTACATAATGGTGATATGGTCAAGGTCATGCATCCCAACCTTTGCTGTCCATATTTTAGTTGGGATTAACCACAGGAAGCATTTGACTTCTACAAAATTTCATATTTTAAGAATAATAAACGAAACAAAATTAAAGAAAACATTGGCATAATTTGCTGGCCACTAATTTGTGCCTTTTTCATAGACTGGAATATTTGCGCCTATATAAACGACTTCTGTATGTAACTTTTTCAGCATCATTAAGGTATATCTGATGTTCGAGGGAGACATAACAATGCAGAACCTACCGTTGTTCTACTTCCAAAGGGGAAATAATTGTATTGTCAGAGTTCTTGTTTTAGTCCCATGACTAAACAAATTATATAAACCGTAATAACATGTTGATATGTTAATTTGAATAATTTTCTATCTTATATTATTGTAATTAAATATTGTTTATTGTTCAAACACAAAGGAAGCTGCCCGTATGGTTCGATAGTTACAATGTGAAGCTTCATTGACTTGTAGTGTATAGATATTTAGGCGCAAGATTCGTTCCTCTTTGGGTCTGCTATCTCCATTTGTATGTGCATGTTTAACTATTAACGTTCTCTGTTATCTTGTTAGACACACCTGAGTGACATGGACAGTAAAAGATCACAGCTGGACCATGTGCTGTCTACATCGACAAAACTTCAGAACACAATAGACAACATGGCAGAAAGACAAGCTCTTTGGGAAAGAAGTAAGTTATGTTGGAATTATTGTGTCCTTTCAGAAATTACTGAATTAAACAGGATATTGAATTATGAAAATTGATTCTCTTGGACGTCCTCATATGCTCGGTCCATGTGTTTCCCATTTCAGTGCATGTTTAGTGATTCACCGCTTCTCCTATCCCTATCTGGATTTTTTTAATGATTAAATAACCATTGATACAATTAGTTATCCAGGCATTTCTCTTATTTACTTTTCTTGGGTTTATCCCATTTAACATTCATCAGTTTCACCAGGCCTTTGTTTTCAGTTGCATTAGCATCTTAACTCCCAGGGGGCTTAGCATCACAGGCCTAGGGGGTTTAGCATCACAGGACCAGGGGGTTTAGCATCACAGGCCTAGGGGGTTTAGCATCACAGGACCAGGGGGTTTAGCATCACAGGACCAAGGGGTTTAGCATCACAGGCCTAGGGGGTTTAGCATCACAGGACCAGGGGGCTTAGCATCACAGGCCTAGGGGGTTTAGCATCACAGGACCAGGGGGTTTAGCATCACAGGCCTAGGGGGTTTAGCATCACAGGACCAGGGGGTTTAGCATCACAGGCCTAGGGGGTTTAGCATCACAGGACCAGGGGGCTTAGCATCACAGGACCAGGGGGCTTAGCATCACAGGACCAGGGGGTTTAGCATCACAGGACCAGGGGGCTTAGCATCACAGGCCTAGGGGGTTTAGCATCACAGGCCCAGGGGGTTTAGCATCACAGGCCTAGGGGGTTTAGCATCACAGGCCTAGGGGGTTTAGCATCACAGGCCCAGGGGGTTTAGCATCACAGGCCCAAGGGGTAGTAAAGAGAGTTATAAAATCGGCGCATCATACGTTCATTGGGCTTCTAGGTAGGAACATATGATGCGTTCCTTGGGACTCAAAGAGTTAATGGCTCTGTGGTAAATGATAAAATTATAATTTAAAATGTGTTATTTGTGAATGTTGATGAAAATTCCTTGCACAGATAAAAATAGTCTTGAAGACGTCTTGAAAGAAACTGGCTCACAAACAAAACTGATTGCCCACATTAGGAGGAGATGATCTACATTCTTTAGTCATGTCATATGAAGGTGAAAACTGGAGACAATTCTGACGGTGTTAAAGTTGTAGGGAAAAAGAGGCAGAGGGAGACAGAAATGTTGGATAGTTTGATATGACATGAAAGATCTGTGTCCGAGTAAATTAAAAGTACATGAGACAGAAGGTTGTAGATAAAATGACTACCAACCACACACAGCATGGAATATAGGAAGAAGAAGAACTTGTTTTAAAAACTATAGATTAGTGTTCCATATTTTGTTCAGGCTTTGTGGCTTTGGCCATGGTTCTAACGTTCCAAAAACCAATTCTAGTGACTTATTCTATACAGCTTGCGGAGCTGAGTGATCTCGAGGCATGGCGTCGGCCCCGAGTTCTGGAGTTCCTGGTACAGGCCCCAGTGAAGACTGGGATGTTTTCATGTGGATTTATAGTAGTTTCCCCTTGTTTCTGTTCTCACCGCAGCTACGGAGTTTGATTCCACGGATTCAGGCTTTAGTTAGAAGTAGAAAGTAGCATTTATGGGTTACTACCCTTATGCCATGATGGTGAACCTAATCTGTTCAGCGTGTAATTAAAAGACCTATATTTGTTTGAATACTGAGACCCTTCCATGCCTGATAAAAGGTTTTTAAGAATCTTCTCGTGCTTTCTAAAATACTAATGGACCCTTTTCCTTGCCTTCATGTGCACTAGCATATGGTGCTAGACCTATATTTTATAGACCAATCAGCACTCAATGGGTAATGTGGTCTACGTCATACCAGGTTTTACTCCCCTATTTTATAGACCAATCAGCACTCAATGGGTAATGTGGTCTACGTCATACCAGGTTTTAGACCTATATTTTATAGACCAATCAGCACTCAATAGAATTGTTTGTTGTTTTAATATCCAGAAGCCATGAGTTGTTAACCCTTAGGCTCAGTATTATGGATATCGCAACCTTTTGGCCTTGATTCCATTGTAAATACCGTCAATCTGGGAGAAAATGTGGCTTTCCTGCCTACCCCCGGGATTGAACCCGGACCACAAGGAGTACGTCACCCGGTCTCCACGAAATCCGGTTTAGCCAATTCCGCTAGAGAGCCGGGCGCACTCAATGGGTAATGTGGTCTACGTTATACCAGGTTTTAGACCCATATTTTATAAACCAATCAGCATTCAATGGGTAATGTGGTCTACGTTATACCAGGTTTTAGACCTATATTTTATAGACCAATTAGCACTCAATGGGTAATGTGGTCTACGTCATACCAGGTTTTAGACCCATATTTTATAGACCAATCAGCACTCAATGGGTAATGTGGTCTACGTCATACCAGGTTTTAGACCCATATTTTATAGACCAATTAGCACTCAATGGGTAATGTGGTCTACGTCATACGAGGTTTTAGACCCTTTTTTTATAGACCAATCAGCACTCAATGGGTAATGTGGTCTACATCATACCAGGTTTTATACCCATATTTTATAGACCAATCAGCACTCAATGGGTAATGTGGTCTACGTTATACCAGGTTTTTGACCTATATTTTATAGACCAATCAGCACTCTGTGGGTGATATGGTCCACATCACACTAGCCACCTTTACTTCTAAGGACTTTTCCTGGTCCACATTTAAGGCTGGGTCTACCTGGAAGCCAAGGTAATTTTCTTTTAAAGGTCAGGCTCACTTCAGAGTCAAGAATACGTCTACAGTAGAAGCTTTGAAAATTATATATATATATATATATATATATATATATATATATATATATATATATATATATATATATATATATATATATATATATATATATATATATTTTACTGTTACTGTATAATTGTGAAATTATCGTTTCACTTTTTAGTTTATAATATTATTAGACTATGGTTATGATTTTTACAGCAACTATAATATAATTGAGAATTATTTAATTTTTTACTCTTACTTTATCACTGTGAAAATTGTCTCATTTTACTTTTATTATAAATGTAATATTGTGGAATTATTTTTATAACTTTTTTTTTATTTTTCAACTTTATTTAAAAGCTAAAAATGTAATTATAATTTGTTTCTCAGCGGAGAAACTCAAGGTCGACTGGGAGCAGACAGTGAGTCATGTTAACCAGCGTAAGTCAGAACTGGACAAGATGCTGGAAGAATGCAGAGCTTTTGACCAGTTGTATGCTCAGTTTGAACAGTGGTTGTCTCAGACAGAAAGTGAGCTGGATTCCCTGGAGAGTCAGCGGGAGGACAGTGACGTCATTACCAAACATGAGGTGAGACAAATGCTTTCCTATGTGAATAATGTTGAATTAAAAATTGACATCACAGCACTCAGGACACCCCCTATAAGCTCTCTGTCCCCCATCTTCAGCAGCAAGCTAAGAGTTACAATTCTGATGGTACCAGTAACTGTCTGATTGTATCTCCGTCTCGCCTTTTTCCTGAGTGTCGAGCATCACTCAGATCCCCTTGTAACTCCTCGCAGTGCCATTCTCCTCAGACCGTAATGATTTATCTGTGCCTCGGCACTGTTCACTTGCTCCTAAAGGGCCCTTACAACATACGGCTTGTCACACATGAGTTCACCACCTAGTGGTGCAGAACTGGCTAGTCTATCTGCCTGCTCATTTCCCAACACACCGGCATTGCCTGGAGAAAATATCTAAAGGATGCTAACTACCCGGGACCTCTGAAGTGATGCTCGCCACTCTGCATGGAGCATGCCTGTCTCCATCTTTCTTAACACGCTCTCTGAGTCAGTTACAATGACGACATGTGTGTACAGCTGATTCTTAAGCCAGCGGAAGGAAGCAGTCACTGCCTCCACCTCTATTTCCTGTGTGAATAGACTCTTATTATGGTATACGTACCTACACTCTAAATCAGTGGTGTCTGAAATATATATGATGTTGTTCTTCACATTCACCGGCTGTAAACTCCTGCAGAAAGTTCTGGTTGCTCATTGCCCTTCTGAACTTTAGTCTTGTTCCAGAACTTGAGTTGTGTGTGCACATTCGTTTTACAGGTCTGACTTATTTGTATGCAGACTGTTGTTTTCCTGCCTCCCAGATAGATGCGCTCCTTTTTTCAAAGGAATACTCATTATTAATAGATTTTACAACATGCTTTTGGGGGAAATGGGGTAATGGGTGAATTCTTGTTTTCCTCACAGCGTGACCCCAGAACTCACATGGGGAGTTTACACAATGTTCTATATTTAAAACAGCAAAAGTGTACCAGGAAAATATAGTGGACATTGCAAACAGTGAAAAGAATGCAAATAAATAAATATCTGGCCGTGTTGATTAGGGGAGACAAGATCACCGACCTGATCTGAGATTTCTGGTGATTGTGTGAGATGGATTACATTTATTTATCATCACCTCGAGGTACCTGATGATGATAACATACCTTATTGTCAACTTTGAGATTGAACAGGATATTATTTAGATTAACATTATTACTACTAGTCCTTGTCTTAGTCAAGGTTTTGTCTTCACTGAAGTTGGGTTACCCATACTTCTGTTCCTGCGCAAGTGAAAATCAAATTCAATGTCCCTCACTGTCCTAATATTACTAATGCTGTAATCAACAGAAACTGCAAGAAGATGTGAACAAACACAAAGAAGTGGTGGACAGTCTGAAGTGGAAGGCTGAAATGATGATTGAAGACCACTCCAGTGATGACACTCAGCAGATGAGGAAACAGCTAGAGAGGCTCACCAATAGATGGTCAATCTTGCTCAACAGGTCAGTGAGTTCTGATTAAGTTTCTTTTTTTTTTTTTTTTCATAACCTTTTTAGTGTTTTTTGTTTTTAAATACTTGTGTGTGGGGGGGGGGGGGGGGGGGGGGGGGGTGGGGGGGGGGGGGGGGGGGGGGGGGTTTTCTTCGTTTTCTTCTTCTTCTTCTTCTTTGCATTCACCAGCAGTAAAACTCCAGTGGATAGTTCTGTTTATTCACCTACTTCTGGGCTAACATTATTTCAGAGCTTGAGTTGTCCATGCATACTGTTGGTTCTTTGCCTCTAATGCAGATGCACTCTGAAGAAAACACACTAAATTAGTCAGCTTTTTTGACCTGCTTGTTACCGGGGAAGGGGATCTCCCAAACAGGTCACTTTAGACAGCTGCAAAAAAATCTACATTTACAGGGAGATGAATGCACACTGGAAGTATCCTCCCCCCTACCCCCCCCCCCCCCCCCCCCCCCCCCCCCCCCCCCCCCCCCCCCCCCCCCCCCCCCCTCCCCCCCCCCTCCAGCTTTTCAGGGTGAAATTCAGGATGCACGCACACAGAGAAATAAACCTGTGAATGTTTCAGCCTCACTCCAGGGTACTCAGGGTTATTTCTAGCCACCTCAGATAAAGACAAAGTAATCCAGGCACACCCATGTGAATAGTTTAAATATAATTGTGCCATCTCCTCAGTGAAGGTTGCCAGCAATGTATCTAGTGTAAACTATGGGAACATTACATGGTGAGGCCCCAGTCACTTCCACTGTGTAACTCTTATGCCACTATGAAAACTGTGAGAACAGTCTCTTTCTAAACAGCTCACAGCAGGAATTAGTTAGTTAGTTAGTTAGTTAGCTGGGTTATCCTCATTGCACTCCGGACATGTCCATAGGTGCTCAGATCCTCCCCTCAGTATGAACCCCAACGTCCGATGGCTAATAGTACCAGTTCTATATTGATTAACAAGTCTTCTAGCGTGTCTGGTGTGCGTCTCGTTTTTTGCTGTGCCGATCTTAATTCCCAAGTCTGCCATTCTGGCGAGTGATGTGGATTCACTGCCACCAAAGTCCTCTATCCTTCCCATTTCTCGGAGGGCATTGAAAATATCAGCATGATCCATAGGTGCCCGTAGTGATAGCACAGTGGACTTCTGTAATGATTCAAGCCATTGTCTTCGCACTGAACCTGCTTGAACCCTCCGGATCATACTCATTGAATCACTGAGTATACACACGCGGGTGTATTTTTGTGTTTCAAGCCAGGCAAGCGCTTGCGTCACTGCCATCACCTCCATCGTCATGCTGCTGGTTGTCATGGAGAAGGCGCCGTTGGCTTCTTTGACTGTTCTGCCCGCTGAGCGTGCTGTAAATGCCCATGCGCTTCTTTTTTGGCGTATAACGAATCCGTCTGTATAGATTATTGCATCTGCCTCATCTGAAACAGCAGGAATTAAACCTGGTAAATGTTGAGGATTACATTGTGATGAGATGTCACTAACTTTGAGCCATAGAGCTGATATTGTAAACATTGTCTGTGTTGAAATCTCTAGACAGTTGATCAGAAACACTTCTCTACATAGTCTGTTAATCAGAAACACTTCTCTGCATAGTCTGTTGATCAGAAACACTTCTCTACATAGTCTGTTGATCAGAAACACTTCTCTTCATAGTCTGTTGATCAGAAACACTTCTCTTCATAGTCTGTTTATCGGGCTATATTCCTTTTTATTTATAAAAGCAAAAATGGAAAAAGTTAAACACACTTGGAGAAGAGATCTGCACCAACAGTTGATTAAAATCAGTACTTTACATAGTCTGCTGAACAGGCTATATAGTTTTTAACTTATAAAAGCAAAAACAGAAAAAGTTGTAGCACACCTAGAAAAGAGATATGCACTAAAAAGAAAATCTTGAATATGAAAATACATTGATGTTTAACTCGCATTGAGTACTTCCATCATGGTGTCTTTATACCTCTTGAGTGTTAATTTGATGACATTTTTGTAAAGAAGGAATCTTTGTACCAGGGAGCTGACACATAAGTATTCTTAAGTGGAGTTTGGAATTCAGGATATATTGGTTGCAAATTTTTTAAATGCCTGTTCTCATTTATCTTTCTTTGACAGTACTCTGCTTTCCTCCCACCTCTGTCTTTTTTCTACCTCCCTCCCTCCCTCTCTCTCTCTCTCTCTCTCTCTCTCTCTCTCTCTCTCTCTCTCTCTCTCTCTCTCTCTCTCTCTCTCTCTCTCTCTCTCTCTATCTCTCTCTCTTTCTCTCTCTCTCTCTCTCCCCCTCCCCCCCACCCCCTCCCCCTGTTTTGCCATTTTCTGTAAATCTCACTTTTCCTAATATCCTTCCAAGTTCTTTTCCTCCATCTTACTCTAATTTCAACCATTCTTGCTTGTAAAATAACAGCTCTTTCAGTCCTCAAACTTTCTTATGAGAACTTCCCCACACTCTACCCTCCAGCATAGCAGGTTTTAATGAGGGCCCGATTCCTGCAACAGCTGTAACACATCTCAGGCTTCCCTTGCAAGGAACCAGCATTTGTTCATTGTTTCTGTCCATGACTCTTCCTTCCTGTCAGGCATTGTTTTTTGTTTTTGTCATGTGTGTTTTTAAGGTTCCTTCAACTAAAATTATGGGCCTAGCTGTCTCTCATTCCAAAGATAATTAGCTATTTTTATTTTACGGTGTTCTCACTTGCTGCTGGCAAAATTGATGTGAAAATATCATAGCTTTTTTTTTTTTTTTTTTTTTTTGTAAAGAAGGAGAGGTTATTAAATCTGCAGCTGCAAAATTTTTTCACAGATAATCAGATTATTGTTATTAGTAATATTATGTGATTGTTTGCATAAGGCCACTATATTACACTCAATAAACTTGTAAATAGAACAGTCTTATTCCACTTAATGTTCATGCTTTGTTGTGTTGGTAGTCATGTCTGTCCATCAGTCATGTATGCTGTCAGTCATTTCTTATACATGCTATGATGCCAGAACTGTCCAGCATCCTCTGTTCCCTTCCAACTTTCCAATTGTCATGACAAACTGCAGTTTTCCTTTTCCCTCCTCATAACTTGATCAGCCTTGTGGATTTCACTGATTGACCTTGGCCCCTAAGGTGACCTAGACTAAAATCAGTATCTGGTAATATCCTGGGAAGTAAAGATAGCCAGCTACATCACCCATTCAGTGCCGATGAATCCATAAAAATTGAATAGGTCATGGGTTCAAGTCCTGGCAGAGCCAGATTTTTTTCTGAAATGACCTTGACTGCCAGGTTGATCCGGCTTTGAGTGGGTACCTGATATAGTCCTGGGAAGTAAGAGCAGCCAGCGTGATACTTATCAAATGACCCTACGAGTACTGATTGGTCTAAAAAATATAGGTCTAGCCCTATTTATCTAGTATGCCTGAAGGTGTTGAAAAGGATCTATTACTTTGACTGTGTGCCAAAAAGGATCCATTTATTTGACTGTGTGCCAAAGGTAGGAAAAAGATCCTCTACTTCTTCTTACAAATACTAATGTACGCAAGAAGTGTAATAAACCTCTTAATTGTGAACAGACTCGCTGGTCATTGGAAGGCATTACAGACCACCAGAGACAGTGGGCTGCAGTTTGAGCCCACACTTCAGGACTTCATGACCTGGTTAGAGGGTGCAGAGGCATCATTCAAGTCACTGGCTGACCAGACTGCCTCTCAAGATCTCCAGAACAATCAAGAGCTGGCAGAGGAGTTTTTGGAGCAGTACCAGGTGAGTTGCATAAGTTTTATTGTAAACAAAGAAGACACAATCAAATCGCAGTAATTACCTGGCATTTTCTTTGGTGCATGATGAAAAACAAAACAGAAGAAAAACACACAGTAACAGTAACATTTACTCTTATATTGTGTAGTCGATTGTTGTCTTCTTTGATTAGTCTAAGTGTGCTTCCAAAATGTTTTTGTTTTTTCTATCAACAGGTACTTTTATTTATTCGCATTGTAAGTTTACAAGGCCTTTGTGAACATGAAGCTATTTTGCTTGATACGAACCTCTCTTTCTCTCACTCCTCTTTTTGTCTCAATCCCCCCACAGACTCGCAGGTGAGCTGTCACTCCAAATGAAACGTGTGAAGCTCAGCTCTTTCAGTGCCTAGGAACACATCATACATTCGTAGGTTCCTACCTAGAAGCTCAATGAGCGCAAGATGCACTAAGTTTATGTCTCTTTTTACTGCTCTTCGGGTTTCTGATGTTAAACCCACTATGACTGTAAAAGTTAACCATTTAAGCCGTTTAACTCGGCTGCCAATAGAAGGATACTTCAGCAAGCAGTGATGTACAAACTAACATAGAATAGAAATATAATTTAACCATGCAAAAATTGGACAGAGGAAATATTCTGTAGGAATCCCCATATATAGGGTGTCCTATATATTCCCAAACATAGGAAAAATAAACATATCATCTTACAAACTCCACTGTAAACATATCACCTTACAAACTCCACTGTAAACATATCACCTTACAAACTCCAGCATAAATATATCACCTTACAAACTTCAGCGTAAACATATCACCTTACAAACTCCAGCCTAAACACATCACCTTACAAACTCTAGCATAAACACATCACCTTGCAAACTCCAGTGTAAACATATCACCTTGCAAACTCTAGCGTAAACATATCACCTTACAAACTCCGGCCTAAACATATCACCTTACAAACTCCAGCATAAACATTTGACCTTTACAAACTCCAGTGTAAACATATAACCTAACAAACTCCAGTGTAAACATATCACCTTACAAATTGCAGCGTAAACATATCACCTTACAAACTCACATAAACATATCACCTTACAAACTCCAGCATTAACAAATTACTTTGACAAACTCCACTGGAAACATATCACCTTTAAACTCCAGCTGTGCTTATGCGTGTTCTTCATCTGTGGAGGGCACACAGAGTGTGTTTTCCAAAAGGTGGTATTTTGCCTATATATGGAAGCATATGAGACACCCTGTATAAAGCACACATAGCATACCACACTCTCTCATGGTTGGTTTACAACAGTTCATCTTCACAATACAAGAGCGTCGGGATGGTAGGGAAATCATGACAGTGCAGTAGTGAGTGACATTTGAACCACAGTTTTATACAGATTTTCTGACCAAGCCAAGGACAGTCAAAAAGTTCAAAATTGAGGATTAGGACAAAACGTAATGGATGAATAGATTGTGAACCCTTTGTAAGTTTAATCACAACAGGATGATGATGAGGATAAAGATTACACCTTCTATCGATATTTGTTACCTGTGTTGTTGTTTTTAAAATACAGTTTTGTCCTGTATTCTTTATGCATACATTTTCATAAAGATCCCTTTTCTGTCAGTATGTGGTTCTCTGTCTCCTTCTTCTTCTTCTGCTTCATCTGCTTCTGCTTGTGCTTCTTCATCTGCTTTTGCTTCCACTTCTTCTGCTTGTGCTTCTTCATCTGCTTTTGCTTACACTTCTTTTTATTCTTCTTCTTCTTCTCCTTCAGCACTCTGAGTCATTCAGGTTGATATTTGCAGATCTTTCATGCTTCCATTCATCTCTGAGTGGCCTTCTCCTTCCAGTTGATGACTCCAAGTATAAGTCTGCCTGCATATTATCCTTCCACCATCTTGGTGTGCCTCATGATCTATTCCCATTCAACCATTTTGTGTACACAGTTTTTGCCTCTGTTACCTGTTGTTGACTCCCAATGCAATCTCTGCACCCTTATGATACTAGTAATTGGGGATTTCAACGGATTATGTATTTTTTGGTGGTGACGTGTTGATAATCCAAAAAAAGTGTTGTGAGAAGGATTATATTTCAAGTCTGCAGTAGATTTAAGCAGACATGCTGAAAAACATTTACACATGGCAGAGGTGGGGTTTTTTTTTTTTTTTTTTCTGAGAGATATCTTGACGCTGCAGAAATGTTTCTGAGGTAAATGCAAACCATGCCATTGACGGGCGTATTGACAAATGTGGCATTCTCCCAGAAACAGACAGCTCTCTATTTGCTCATCTTTAGGGTGTGCCAATTTTGGCGCCATCTCCTTTGTCTAATTGTTGTTTTTTCATGCTACGATATCAAGTAAACTCGAAAATCATAGTTTCAACTGGCAGACTTGATGGAAAAGATAAAGTAGACGACAAATAGATAATCTCCTTGATGGCTTGGTCATCACGTGTTAGCGGGACAAGAGCATAGAACCGATCCGAAACCCGGTGATTATGTGAGTGGGCAAGCCGTGGCTGCTGTCATTTGGCGAGACACAAGAAGACGATGGGTAAACATTTAAAGATAATCACAGCGTTTATTTGTGTTAGGCTAGGCTATGTTTTTTTTTTTTAATTTATCACATTTTCAACACGCACGTGTGCTCGCAGACATGGGGGGGGGGGGGGCGGGTTGGGGGTTGGGAGTGAAATGTTATTTACAAAGGATGACAAATTAGATACAAAAGTCCTGTCGTACTTTCCACTCTTCCTGTCAGAGTACATTTTTCCAATTACATTTAAACGTGCGCTTGCGAAGTCCGTTTAGCAGTAAACACAATTAAATTAAAGTTTTATATATTAGCATTACAGGTTCTGTGAAATAAAGTAGGGATGCGAAAGGGAGAGAGAGAGTCAGTGGCTTTATGTTGTTGTGGGTTTTTTTTTTAAATCTACATACAGCATAAGCGTTTGTCGCGTATTGTATGTAAAAATGCATTAGTAGATTATATTTCCCTGTTTTTCTGCCATCCGTTAGCGGATTCCCCACCATTTCCGCTGAAGCTGTACTATAGTGCCTGTTCTATTTTCCTGATGGATTTGTTTCTTGTCTGTAATCTCGTAGAATTAACACGGTGCTTCCCAAAACTGACACCTCCTCGCGACAGTACTTTGGATATAATAATTTTATGACGCCTGTGTTCTTTAATGGGTGCCTTTCATTTCAGAAGATGAATCATTCGTTTCATTATTTCCCTCAGTCTGTTATAGTTTTTCACACCAAAAAAAAAAACACAGCTTCCTGAAACTGCGGCTCTAATTGTGAAGGCTCCGGGGTATAATTTTAGTATTTTTAGAGGGAAAAATGGGCGATGGAGAGAAAGGCACACTTCATGTTGTAAAAAGGCGACTGATTAAGTGTTTGCTCAAATCACATGTATTGGTCAAAAAGGTGCAGCATCATGGCCCGGCTGAAAACCTCAAAATATTGTGGCAACCGCCCTACTACGTGACATTACGATCACAAACCTGATACATGGTTTTTTTAATTATATAATGGTAAAAGTTAAAACCATTACAGAAGTAAACAAAAAGTTCAACGAAAGTTACTGACCATAGTTGTTGGTATCGCATAACTTAACCGTTAATCTTTAACACTGAGTATTGTAACGTTGTCTGTGGCTTAGGCGTAGCGAACGCGCTTCGTAATGCCGGGGCGCCGGGTTCGATCCCTGTGCAGACGGTTTGTCTTGCGCTGCTTTCGACAGTGGTACCGAAAGCGACCCTTCAGAAAGCAGTGACAAACTACTGGACGTAAATTTGCCTAGGAAAACAACAACAGCCAGAAAGTGCTAGGGTTGGTTCTGCAACGTCCTGCAAAGGATACGCAACTAATTAAAAATTGTAACGTTGAAACTCGGTCTGCTTCTTTATTTCATAACACAGATGTCATAACACTGAAACACTCGTCTGTTTCTGTCTAACACGAGACTCATAACATTAAAAGGAAGAACTGCCAGCTTCCCATAAACGAAACAAAATACAGCCACGAGTTAACCAAATTAACGTTGTGGCTAGAGCATCTGTATTAACACACGGTGAGACGGACCGTAATATAGCTACAAACGAATTAAATCAAATGACTTGGCTGTTTAAAGAGTCGTCCAAGAGAAACCATGAGACGAACGTTGATGAGAGAAGCCAAAGTTGCTGGACTGGATTATACATGATATAGAAGTGGTTGTGCAGGGTAGAACGGAATAGGAAACAGACTGCCAGTATTTGCGCTTATAATAATGGCACGACAAGATAGTGAATGTTCAAATGGTAAAGTTTGCACCAGGTCCAAAATGTTCATCTATTCGTTTCATTCTTCTTCTTCTTCTTTCGGTTGCTTGAAATAGATTATTTATGTCTGCAATGTTGTCTCTAGTATGAACCTCACTGTCTGTGGTAATTTACTCAGCGACACGTAAAGTTTGACTTGCACTGTTGTTTCTCTTGGTTAAAAGTTTTACCTTGAAATGTTGTATTTAGGACAGTCTGGGATGACATGGTCTGTTGTCATAGGTGCCAATCCACATGTGCACATGGCTGATTCGCCGATTTTAAATTTTCTGTACATGTGGCTGCGGGGTGGAAAAACCTCTCATAAAACTCTCATAAAACGAGTATAAGATGAAATCTCGCCACCACCATGATCCCCACTCTTTGTCGCGACAGCAATGTGTGGGTCACAACACAGGTTGAGAATCACACCATTAGTCGAATGGTCGTCAGAATCCGCCTCAAGCCCTAGGCAGTAATTGTGGGGACAGTAATTGGCGGTCTTCCGACCCAATTTGCTGGGCCCAGGTTCCCGTGTGGAAGTTGTGAAGCTGTCATCGGAGTGTTCGATTTGTACGGCCGGTCGTTGTTTAGACGAATCGGCTTCTGCGTGGCCTTGTTTCTCCTTCATTAAAATTCTGGTTGACCTCTGGTACTTCTGAACAGAAGAATATACGAGAAGGACATTCT